AAAATATTTTTCTCACCCAGAATAAGAGACGACTTATCTGAAATGTGATCATGGCGTGGAGGATGATTTACACAACAGTTAAGCAGTCGTTATGTAGAAAACAATTATTCGCGACCTTTGGCGAGCATATATTTCGCGCTCTGCCAATCAGAAACATCGCACGGCGCGGTCACATTCATCGTAGGTCGCCGTGCAAAGTGGTGCCGTACACTTTTTAGACTGGCTGTGACAGAACCAACCACCAATGGGAATCTGGGAAATTTGTACGACATCTGTACGACTAAGTCAAGAATGTACTAGTACTCAATCTGCTTCAACGGTGCGACGAATGTGAGCAGGTCATTTGACATAAGGAAGACCAGGGATGTATAAACATTCATTCAGTCCGTGTCCAAAACATTCCTTCATGAAGGGCCCAGCACATGGAAAAATAACGATTATAACAAGAAATCTGAGATTTCAAACTTCCAGGAGGTATTATTAGAGAAGAGCCATGTCGTACTTTCAACGGGCCTAGGGCAGAAACTTTGCAGGCTGAGAGCTTGCTACACGTTTCCCCATTGGCACCTTGAACAACGGTCAATTGAAATGCAAGTCAATAACACCAACATCAGGCATGAAAACGCTCTATGGCCCCATCACACGTCTGGCCTTGTTCGAGTTAAACTCAAACCGCGTAAGAGAGACCAGGTCGTCCGGTTTCCCCAATCGGGCCGTTTTGTCTGACCACACCGGGATGGACTTCAACTCCCAGCTGCAGTAGCTCAGCAGAACCGCTAGGGTCGCTTTCATCAAGAAGAAAGCGATGCCCTGTCCAGGACATTGGTGGCTGTCCAAGTCAGGAGGCTCCGTAAGACTGAAAAGGGCAAAAAGACATTTGCGATGAAAATAAATGCCTGTCAGAATGCACTGTTCTGAACTCCTGAAGGCGTTGACAAGTTTATTTATGGGCCTTACAAAATTGGTCACATATTTGTTGATTGATTCAATGATTCATTCATAAACCAGAGACATAACATTTACCAACACAGATGAACTCTTAAGACATTTCCAGTTTTCGCCACACCCTACCAACTCACCAAGTATGAAACTAATACCTCCAGCCGTTCTTGAGTTATCTTGTTGACTAACAGACAAACGTAACTGAAAATACTAGTATAACCTTCATGACATGCCATGGAGGTAATAAAAGATTTTCTCACCTTCCATGTGGAAAGACAAGATGTTTTCTCTTGTCCCCACCCCCTTCTTCATCCAGAAAGCGATTACACCGGAAAAGTCCTGGCCGGAGGAACACGGACACGTCACGCTGCGCCCAGAAGCAACTACCGAGCAGCTGCTCTCCCTTGCGGACCTGCACACAACAACACTGAGTCAGCGCATCTACCCCAGAAGTAAGCATGATTTTTCAACGATAACAAACAACTTTTTGGTCGGGCAGTACATCTGTGCTCTATGAACAAAAGAATCATTTCGGTTTTGCATTTAAAAAAAAATTCAATACCGAACATATTTTTACACATGCAATAAGCCATGGCAATAAATCTTATTGTCCTTATTGCCTGTAAGTGGCGCAGTGCTTGAAAGGCGCACTAAATGTTGCGAAATTAAACTTGACTGACACCTGTAAAACACTTAGACTGAGCCTGACCCGGCTTAACTCTACTTGAACAGCAGTACTAATTAACTTATAAACTACATGTACCTACCTCAACCTTTTCTTTTCTCGTCGAAATCACGAAGTCCTGTTTTGCCACTCCGAAAAAGTCGAAGACAGGTGGGTGTAGGCGCAAAACCTCTAGTAGAAAACTTTCTAGAAGCTTCATGTCGTCGAGACTTTCTTCCGTGATGCCACCGTGTTTCTTAAGAACTTCTAGCGTCGCTCGAAGGAGGTTGTTTTTCTCGGCTTCCGTGACACTCCTTGTATTCAAACGAGCGATGAAGGTGACAATGACGCTCGACAATGCCGCCACTGCGTTGAAAATGACAGCAAAAATGACACTGACGATGCCGTCTTCTTCTTCCTCGATGCCGTGGGCGTGACACAGTCCGATCAACTCTTGGTATTTTGGTGATTCCTGGATGGTTTTCAGAAGAACTGGGAGGGCTGCCGAGGCGAGTGTGTGCTGCTTTGCTCTAGCTATAGAGGGCATCGGTATCCTCGTCCTGATCTTCATCAGTCCTTGTAACCAATTCAGGGCCAGGCGGCCGTCCACTTTACTCCCAAATACCGACTCTGTCATCACATCACTGACCAAAAAGACACTCTGTCTTCAAAGTCCGTGACCACTCTGGCTCGTGACCACTCTTCGAAGTGCGACAGGATGTGTGCATTGAGAACGGACGGAAGCGTCTCCCGAGATCGCTGCAAGACGTCGATCAAGAACGCTTTCTTCCGACGATGTTCTTCGCCGTTGACGAACATGGACGGGCAGTATCCCTGGGTTAGCTCTTCGCGTACGCCGACGTATCCTAAATAGTACCTCTCCTTGTCCACTAAATCCGTGTTAAAGATATACTGGATGGTTTCTTGGTTCAGAAGCGCCACGACGGGAACTCCGACGTTTGTACGGACGACAGCAGGGTTTTCCAGGTGGTGCTTCAGTCTGTGAGGTCCCTTCTTGACTTGCTGTATGAGACCCTTCGTGTTGCTCGCTCCTGCACCCATGTTCTACAATGTATTTCTTGATACACCAAACAGAAGGTACAGAAACGTCTTCCTGACACTCGTGAACACCGCAATGTAGTCTGTCCCAGTGGACAGACTACAAATTAGATTGTTTTTTGTTTTTGTTTTGTCTATCATCATGTAGTACTCCACTATTGTAAAGGGTGTTTGGGTTACTTTATGTTTGAAAAGGGGAAACGCCACCATGTGCCAAAGTATTTTAACGTTTGTTGCTCTTAGATTCAGAATAACGCAATTTCCTGTTTACTTTGTGAAACTTTCCACCCTCCAGGGACACTTAGGTGTCGCCCATAGAAATTGTCTGCAGCATGTTTCACGCACTCAGTCAGACTAAAGGAAGCCGCATTCTACCATTTCTATGTTGTTGATAACGCCTTCCTTCACCACGGCTACTAATCTCAATCTCCGAGCAGAATGAATTGCTAGGGCCTTAATTTGTCGTCATACTTTGCGACCTTTTCTTCAAGGGTGAGCGATTTCTTGGGGCTGCTCATCTACTATGTAAGGAGGAGGCAAAACTAAGCAACATTGTTTGTTATCTTATCTAAAAGTAAACACACACGTCTTGTACGATGACAATGATCCTGATTGCATATAAATGTCCAGAAGGGCTACATGCAGAATGTTGTATAATATAACTAAGATTAAAAAAATCTACTACTATTTACATTCCTCTTCTATTTCTGAAACATAACTTGTGTAAACAAACTTAATTGTAACTTAAACAGAGCTTGTGAATGACATGTACATGTTAAAGTACATTAGTTGCCTTAATGTAAGGCACTGACAACAGAATTGCACACATTGCTATAACAGTCATAATGTTCTATGAAGTTTTCATATGCGAGTTCCATACACAAAGCAAGGCACTCACCAACAAGCTTTCATTGAAATATAAGTCATAATGTTTTCTTTCTTATCATTATAATATTGCAGATATCCTTAATTGCTCCCAAAGGACATCCCATCATGTTATTTTATCAAAATCATAAAATATGAATAATATCATCTATGACATGTGGAAATATACTGAAATCTTGATTGAGCACATCCTTCAAAGTAAAATCTAAGAAAATGTTAACCTTATTTCAGATCAATGATATACCTTGTAAATCAAATCAAATTGAATATCTTTATCTGAAAATCTTGAAAATAAAGTCTGGTTATGTAGCAGGAATAAGGCACAAAGCTATTTAATATTGTTTATCCAGCAACAAGGCAAGAGAGGGTCAGATGTTCTTTTCCAACATTATTAAAATCTTAGATAACATGCCAAATACTGGTACAAAAAGCTATTACCAGTACCAGCAAGACAAGTGGAAGACCTTGATGCTGTTGTGAGATCCACTTTCAAAAGTGTTTTTAAAGAAAGAGTTCAACTCTCAGCAGTGCAGAGCACTCCGGATAACAAATTCCCTCTAGTCGTTACGACTCATCATCACTGAGACAGTCTGCTGTTCTCTGTTCGTAAGAACTGGTGAAGTCTTCCCGGATGGCGTCAAGCTCGCGGAGTTCTGCCCACACGTTCTCCTTATGGAACGCACGCCGAGCATTTATGTTTCGTCTTGGGAACGGGTTCAGGTCGTGGAACGCAATCTGGGCCAGGCGTCTAGTGTGGAAAGGAGAAATCAGTGAGTACCATACATAAGACCTAGTTCCTGAGAATGCAAATAAAACATGCAACTGCATATACTTTGAGGGCTTGGAAATACATGTACATGTATAGATAAATATTATTTTTAAAAAAAGAGTACCTTGTGTCGACCATGGTTTGTGGCATCTGGCGCAGAAACTTGAAGATGGACATGTAGTCCTTCTGCAGTAAGATGGTCTCCTCACTGGCTTTGAAGAAAGCCAGAGCATAGCGGAACAGGACCTTTGAACCCTCGTAAAGGAAGGCATCCCAAATTCTGTGCAGAAAAAACACAAATGCAGACTTAAAACAAGAAGTGGCACTTAAATACCGAGCTAAGCTGCTAGAGGGGCCCAATTGCAAATCAACATTGACTTTCATCTTCCAAAGACCTTCATACTCAACTACCAAACAATTATCATGACCTTTCACCAATAGCTTCTTCTCTCATTCATTGTCAATGAGCTACAGCTCCACATTTGACATGACATGCACAAACCTCAACATGGTGTCACTCGGCATTCCGTCCACAAAGATGGTGAGGAACCAGTTGAAGGTGACGAGTGACAGGTCCACGTTGTTGTTATCCAGGTGACTGGACAGGTGTGGTAACTTCTCCTTCAAGAGATCCTTGAAGACCCTCTGGTCCACCTGCATGGGAAAGGTCAGACAGAGATGAAGTGAAAATGGAAAGTGATCTCAAACCAGTTTAGGCAAAGTGTACTCAATGAACAGTTGAGTTACTCCCAGGTGTCTCAGGGATTTAAATCTGAAACAATTGTGACAAAAAGCCCCTGCAGACAGCTCAACATGCTAAAGAAAAATCTCCTGAGAGTAGTGGAGACCCCCCGTACCTGAGAACCCGCCAGAGTCTTGCTGAAGTAGTCCTGAGGCATGATGTGTTCCACGATGGCCACCAGGCACCAGAAGGCGTCCTCCTCCGTCATGAAGAGCAGGGCGATGGCCACGATCCTGTTCAGCCCCTGACAGTAGCCGATGGCGGGGTTGTGCCAGCTGTACGCCACCAGTACCCGGCGGAGCTTCTGGATCCCCTCACTCTCCATGGACCTGGACAGTATCCGTGAATAAGGACTGTATATTACACAATGCCAATATATCCTGTGTTACAGTCTCCTGCACTGCAGTAACAGACAGCTCTCAATCTGACAATAACTTGTCCATGCTAGTACATACATGTATGATGTATACAATAAGTATCAAGGATTAAGATGTTCCCAATTCTTCATACATGATTGTAGACATGTCATCAAGCTTCTAGGGACTTAATGTAGTCAGGCTAAATCCAAGTGCTCTTATGGAGTTAACATACACTACATTACAGACCCATAGTGCACATTGTGGGGAAGGGTTCTCATCAGGTCCAGCTCGATCTGTTTGCCGGCAGGGTTGAACTTGCCCCTGTTGGTGATGTGCAGGTGTTGGTAGTGGGACTGCTGGGGTGATGCAAGGTCAGCCTGGAGGAGGGGAGGAAAGGAAGCTTGAACCCTAATGAACAGACTACACAGACCATATGCCAATGGTTCATTTTGCAATCTATAGAATTTTAACATTGGACCACAGCTTAAGACTGCAATCCTTCCTAGTATGTCGTGGACTCCAACTCACGACATCTTGGTACTGACCACTGAACTACAACACAGCTGGGATTCAAACCTGGTTCCTGCTGTCCTGGACACGAAGACGGACGCACCAGTTCCAGATCCGTTCCCGGTACTCGTACGGGATGCCAGCACGGATGAGGGATTTCAACTCAGGCAGGCGCACAAGGTCACGGTTCCCGATATTGGCAAAGTAGTTCTCCCATTTCACACCTGAGGATGGAAACAACATTTAGAACGGTGCTGTTCAACATATGACACAAATATGTCAAAATTATCTTTAAGTTTGCAATGAAATGATTAAACTGAACTGCAATCAACTGAGCACAGGCAGGGATTGATTACAAAGTAGTTCAAAACCTAGAGGAACACCATAGAACACGCTTCCTGCAAAGCCCCCTTCCAAAAGACGACAATTGCTGAACAACTGTTAAACTACCAAGATTGGATTTATATGTGTCCTTTGATTTTGATCATCATGATATAATGCACGATGTAACAGTAAAACACACAAAATAAAGAAGAATTAGTTCTTTATCTTCAAAAGTTATAGTAGTGCAGTATACTGATTTTGATCTAAAACAACTGGAGTTGAGTAATTATTGCCACCGATGAATTTGTTCAATTTAAGATATAGCATCAGCTTACCGATGGATATGTTTTCCTCTACGGTCCTGGCCTGGATTTCCTCTGACCGTCTCTGTAATGACCCAGCCCTGCTGACCACAGGGTTGGCCTCCTCCAGATCTGCCTCCATGCTGAACCCATAACGATCAAACTTTTCTTCCCTGAAATCAAAATCAATCAAAACAAGAAATTGAAGATCTCATACCTCTGTGAAATTAAGGAGGTTAGAAAGCCTGCTGTCATTGTAAGTAAAGTCAACATTGCCCAAGAAGACCACTCTGGGGACTGATAAAATCTGGTCTATGTGGACAGGTGGTCACTATAGACAGGATTATTGCTTGTGTCTATGGGGAAAATCATCTAAGGGACCACAGTCACAATGCCCAGGTGGTGTTTAGGTGGAGTGACAATACATTCAAATGTCCCAGCCTAGGCCCACCTTAAGGGCTGCAGCCTCCCGACTGTCTCCACTGGTTCGTTCCCCTCCACGTTGATAGCCTCGTCCAGGAGTTGTGAGATGACCTCCTGAGTCTTGTTCTCCTCCCCTCCCCGCTGTGGAGTGTGCAGCTCGTTCAGCAGCAGCAGGTACTTACTCTTGATCTGGTAATACTTGGCCTCCAGTTCAGCCATCTGAAAATAGGTGGCATCGTCTGTAATTTCTCATCTAAAATGGTATCATTTTGCTGGTAAAACATTATCCACTGGTACATGTATATAATAATCCCACAATCCTGATTTCGATATCATATTTTATCCCAATTTCAGTATCTACACTCCACCTAATAATATTTAGGGCTTATGTATTAATATTGACAGAATGAGTCACTCCCATAGTTGTGCTCTTTGTAACATTATTTTAGTCATTCATTCATTCATTCATTAATCAAGTCTGGCACCTTTTCCAAATGAACCTGTTCCCTTGTTGCATCATCATTTCTCAACAAGTTCAACTCCAAGATCTCGTTGTTCAGGAACCTGTTTTGGGTCTGGAACGCCTCTAGTGAATCCTGTAGGCAAAGGAAAAGAGCAGTAATAAGTTATACGTAATTACTAGGCTACTGTTTTTCAAGGCAAAAGGGAAGATCTTAGGCTAGCTTTTTTTGTCTTCATAACATACCAGAGCTTTCTCCATCTCAAAATTGTTCTGTCATAGGCTCTCTGTCAGGTTTGATTGGTGCAGTAACCTCTCCCTCATTAAACCATGAAACCTCCATTTCTAATGTAAGCTCTAGCATTGATTCACTACAAAATCTCTTTTCTCCTTCTACCATAAAAAAGAATGACTTCAACAATGTATGACCTTGAGGTTCTGGGTATCGTCCAGCCAGCCCGTGGTACTGACTGGGATGTTGTGTGGCTGGGTAGGCTCCTGGCTGCTGTCCTCGGAGTGACCAGTTGGAACAGCCTGGCCATGTTCAAGGTCGTCCACCTGGTGGGTCAGCTGCATGATGACCTGAAAGTGAAAGTGATGTTGAACTAGCTTAGCTCAAATAAACTCAAACAACAATTGAACTGCTCTTACACTGATTTCAACCGGGAAGACAGGTGATATCTATGTAGTGTTTACATGTTCATTGTAAAGAGGAAGTTCTCTTAGCTCTTTCAACAAACACAACGATGAACCATGTCCTGTTCTACGAACTGCAAGTTGCAACCCTTTTCTGTAGTGTGCATGTTGGGTGAGCATTTTAAAACAGGAAAGATACTGACCATTCACGCGGCAGGAATGATCTTGGAAATGATTTATTTATTATGTGTCTGTCAATAATTTAAGATGTAATCAATCAGGATTACTAGGTTACAAACATTTTTTAAAGTTCCAAACATGGCATCCCTGAAACTTGTAAAAAGTAGTCATGAAATTGCTGAGTGATACCTGATCCTTGGCCTGCAGCATCTCCTGAAACATCAGCAGTTGTTCCTTCAGTTCCTGTACCGACGTTTCACTGCACTTCAGGTCCAGCCTGATGTCTTCCTTTTCCATCTTTGTCTGGCTCAGCTGTTTCTGAAGCTCTGCCAGCTGTCTATCTTTCTGTCGCACCAGCTCTAGTCTCTCCTTCTCACTTCCTGCATGCACAAAATGGTCGCTTGACCTCTTCTCCTGTTGCGCCGCTGACAGCTGCTCGTGGAGAATTTTGATGACTTTTTGGTTCGCCTCCAACTCCTGCTCCAGCGTTTCCACTTTATCTTGAAGTGTCAACAGGCTTTCCTGGCTGTGGGGAACACTTCCTGTACTGTTCTCACTTTGAGGGACTGCACGGTTGCCGGACAGTTTCTTTTTGATGGAGCTGGCGAAACCAGTCATCCTGTTGACCCCTGACCTTGTTGGAGAGGGAGGTGGCTGTGAGGTCATGACCTTGGTGTTACCCTGGTGCTCACTGTTCCTGTTCTCCATTTCTGATGACCAATGTTTTGTATCGGAACCATTGTCAGAAGGGAGGCAGACGTTAGGACTCACAGTCGCAACCCCTCTGGAGGTTTCATCAATGGTTATCAGGGGAGCCACTGTCTGGTAGTGAACTGATGGTTCTGCTGAAGAAGATTATACATTAGGCATTGAGAATGAAGGAATGGGTTATTATGATCAGCTATTATACATTAGGCTGAATGAAGGAATGGGTTATTATGATCAGCTATTAAAATCATGTCTCAACCATGGGCTGAATTATATACTTTGTACAGTATAAACAAATTGCCTTTTTTTTATTTCAGGCATTAAGCTCCTTGATAAGAAGTACCTTTTTGGGTACTCGTACTTTGCTGCTTCAGTAAGCCACTTCTGGGTGGTAAGACTGATGCTGAGGCCATGGCTGATGTGGAAATTGTCCTGGCCATACTGGTGCGCAGTTGACTGTAGTGTCTTCTCCTCAGCTGTAACTCCTGCAGCCAGAACATCATGGTGCTGTGGTCAGCAGCCTGAAAAAAAGAAGCAAACCACTGATTTCCATATTGTATGATTGGATTACCTAACGGGACTGTCACGGTGGCAATTAGAGGTAGGCAATGTATCAAGGAAATTTCCTACGGGATAAGGATGAATGATTATCTTTTCCTTTACTTCCGCTTCCTCGGGGTTTAAAGACGCACCTGTAGGACGAACGTGCGGTCCCCGCAGCTGATCTCAAACTGCCCCGCCCTCCCCTGCTCTCCCTGCTCAAACGAGAAGGAAGCTCCGGCGATGTCGATGGACCCCAGCGCCGTCGCATCTTCAGATGACTTGTAGTAATACAGACGACATCTTCTAGGTTCATAGACAAACCAGCGCTGTCTGAAAACTTTCACCAGTCCTCTGTCGCCTTTCTTGTTCAGATAGCCAGAGAGTTTTGGTAGTGGGTCCGAGTGTATAACTTCCGTTTTCTGGACTTCGGGCTCGGTGGAATCTTTTGAGACATCCTTGGAAACTACAGGAACATCCAAGTCCAACAAATTTCCTTCCATGATTCTTACTGTCACAAAGATGGCCTGCGGAAGTGACCCGAAATCCAGTCGTGAAACTAAAAGCTATTCTACTGCGGAAGCTGAGCTCAACTTCCCGCTACTGCAAAAGGTCGAAGGCCATTTATACTTCCGCATGTCAGCTGATTTGAGCCTGAACCACTTACTTTAAAGGGGGTGCCAACATGTTATAGATACATGATCTTTAAGGACAAGCCATGAATGGAATTTTGAGATCTACCGTTAGTACAAATAAAGCTGCACGTACTGGTATAAAATTATATACTTTCTTGGTAGAGTTATGTATTTTTTTCAATACGAAATATTTGGGTTGTACCATGAAGTCATGCGTCACCATTTGGGTAGGCGTGGCGCGTACAAAAAACGTGCCTGTTCGAAATACATTTTTATTCGAACTTATAGAGAACTTGGGCAGTGTATATATTTTGAAGCAGTCCCAATTTTTTCTTCAGACTAAAAACCAGATACCGTCACATTTTCTAGATTTGTGGTGGACTTTGTTTCGGCCAAAAGGTCACTGAGTGCCGCGTGACGTGACGCGTCGTTTACAACTTCGGAAACAGTATCGATATCACTCATCTCAGGACAGTCTACGGCACAAGACAACAAGACAACTCCGTGACAACTACATCTGAAATTTCTCTGCTTTTGAATAACTATTATTATCAGGATCACCGCAGCCAAACAAGGTAACGTTGATACTTAAATATCTGTCCAAAGTCTGGATGACATTAGAAGCTAGATGTAGTATCATGACCTATATATTGTTTGTAAGGCCACACTGAATTGATTTCGTGCATGGTATCTCTCTGGACAACCCAAAAATGATGATGCGAATGAAGCGTAAGATGGGCAAAGAAAGAAAATGTGACATAAATAATGTTACTTTTTGGTCTATAATTTTTACACGAAACAACTCTAGTGTAGACAACTCTCACTGGTAGTGGTAATTCCCCTAGGGTGGGCTAATTATAGTCCTTTAATAGCAGGCCTCAACATTACCCCTAATGTTTCCTTCTTCATGCATCTCTACTACATTTGTAATAGCGTGTAGCCGTGTAGCGTTTAATAGTGACCCTGACTCTCAGTCTGGACCAAGACTGGCAAGAGATCATGAAATCGAACCCAGCAGTGTCACATACAAGGTACTATACAATGATACATGCATTCTATTGGAAAGGGTAAGTCCTTAGGTGCAATAAACTTGTGAATACTGTAGATAGCATCTGTCTTCTCTCTCTCAACTGTTTGTTTATTTTGTTTGAACTAACCTAGTTACAGATCATTTGCACATTAATGTATCTATCATGTTGACTGTATGTAGATGGCGGACCAGATAGCTGCAGAAAGTGCCATTTCCACGAGTACAGTCCCATCAACCTCTACACTGAAGGTGAACTTAGACGCGCCGCGATGGGACCAGAGCACGTTCTCGGGTCGTGCCAAACACTTCTTCACCATCACAGACCCACGGAACCTGCTGGCAACATCTTCTCAGCTGGAGGAGGCCAAGTCACTGGTGCTGCAGTACAGGTCAGTCACCATTACATGCTTGAACATATCCGCTTATACTGTAGTAGAAAATAAAACATTTAACCTCCAATCAATCCCCAGAAAGACCATTCATTCACTAGAAGCACAGCAGCATTTAGAGATTGACATGGAGGAACCTAGACGAGGGTCACATACTTCCTGGCAGTTTTAAATTTCTTATTGGATATGCAGTCATCACAGGTGAATGTTTAAGTCTAATCCATGAATGTGACCATGACTCTGTTGGTTTCAGACTAGGGAAGTTGTCGTCCAGTGTGACGGAGGATCAACTCTGGAAGGCCAAGAACCTGTACGACTCCGCCTTCCACCCCGACACAGGCGAGAAGATGTTTCTGATTGGCAGGATGTCGGCACAAGTCCCCATGAACATGACCATCACTGGCTTCATGATGACTTTTTACAAGTAGGCCACTGATTGGATATGTCTTTGTGAGCTGTTCAGGCTAATTTGTTAATTTTTAGTGGCACTAAAGTATTTAGTTTACAACCTGGTAACATGGCAGAATGAAAGAGTTGTACATAATGATACTCTTTTTAATATGTAGCCAATACATGTTTCCTTACTAGCAGTTCGTTAACAAAAAGAAAAGGTATTTTTTCTTAAAGTCATAGAATTTTACCAATATTTCAGGTCATCTTGAGTGATGTCTAAATACATTTTTTGACATATATGTATATATAAGCAATTGTTTCTGCAACCTGCATTTAAAGACTGACCTGTTTTTGTGTTGTCGTTGTTGTTTCCAGAACCACACCTGCAGTTGTTTTTTGGCAGTGGATTAACCAGTCCTTCAATGCCATTGTAAACTACACCAACAGAAGTGGAGATTCTCCCATCCCAGTCAAGTATGATCCTTCTTCTCAGGAAATTTCATCTGAAATAGCTTTCTGTTTGTCTTACCTCTGTACCCTAAGGTTCACTTTTTGTAATAATAGCCACATGTTAGTTGGGCAGCCTCGGAAGTACGTTCAGCTAAATCAATGAATAAATACTGGTAAATAAATTTCAACTATGGTAAGGGAACTAAATTTATTTTTGGTCAAGTAACAAATGTGTCAGTTCTACTAGTATTCTTTGTTCATCGTTTTGTTCCTTCCAGGACGTTGGGAATTTCATATGTGTTGGCAACAACAGCTGCAACAGGGACAGCTCTGGGACTGAACATGGTCGTCAAGGTAAATAAAATAAATGCTATTGAAGTGTTTCACAAGTGTTTAGTAATACATATCAAGTGTCTAGAAGTTTGAAAAGGTATTAAAAACTATATGTTCTACCCCAATAAAAACATCTGACAGCAGTTTTAAGACCAATAGATTTTACACAGTCAGAAACCCGGACAATGTTACTCATGTTACAGTAAACCATTTCCACTCAAGCAAAACATGCTACATGCACTAATATGATAAGCTGTTGAAGTGTATTATAATGATTATTACTTCCTTCTTGTGTTCCCAGAACATTGCTTCCCCTCTCATTGGACGATATGTTCCATTTGCTGCTGTAGCCGCAGCCAACTGTATCAACATCCCCTGCATGAGATCCAGGTAAGAATGCTAGTCAATTTCAGTTCCACTTTCAGTTTTCCAGTTGCTTTGGGAGATTTATAAAACAAGCCCCATTTACATGCATCGTACGATGCACCTGCAATGGTTCTTAAACTATAGCACCCTTTATTCTCAAATCTACAACATGTATGTTAGATACATCTATCTAATAATACAACTGCAAATTTGAATGGGGTACTTAGATATATGAACATATGCATCTTGAAAAATGATTGTTAAAAAGGATTCTACATTTGGTCAGTTTCTGCCTCATACATCTCATGTCTCTCACCCCCCCCCTTCAGAGAACTGACAAACGGGATTCCTGTGAACGACGAGAACGGAAACCGTGTGGGAGAGTCTCGCCGTGCTGCGACGCTGGCCATCGGTCAGGTGGTGATGTCTCGTGTTGTCATGGCCATGCCTGGCATGGGTAGGTACAGTCGTTGGTCGACACTTCTGAACTGAATTGTATATTCTAGGCATTTTTTAAAATTAATCTAATGATAATGGAAGAAAGATATCTCAACTCATTGAAAGAGAAACAGGAACAAGAAAAACAAAAGTCATTTAGATTTTGATTCATAAGAGCTCAGCTTATATAGGCATCAGTCTTCACTATTATGGCCAGTGGGAAAGTAGCTTAACTGTTTCAACATCACTTCCACTTTCCAAGCTATCAAATCAAATGAAATAAATAAATGTATCCCTTTTTTGCAGCTTTACCACCCATCCTAATGAACTACATGGAGCAAAAGGGCATCCTCCTTAAGGTAAGGTTGTAGAAAACATAAAAGAAAAATGAAACAAAAACATGAAAGAAAAATGAAACAAAAATTCAATTGATTACATTCAGTATGTCACATCAACATCTCTGTTTCATTTTTTCCTCCAGCGGTTCCCATGGTCAGCTGCTCCCCTCCAGATTGGGATGATCGGTGTCTGGTATGTACCATATCCACCATATTTCTTCAACAGAATCAGGATATCTAAGGCCCATGTGTCTCATTGGGATAATGTAGGAAGTAGACTTTCCAATCATTTCTTTTCATATGAAGTTAAATCCGCCTAGAAATGCATTTACAACTATATATTTCATCACCCCTGCATTCTGCCAACCCTGTACCCTTTGAGATAGATGTAGGGGTATTGGAACATTTCTAGATCTAGATCTACTAGTGTGCATAATGAACTGTACTTCATGTTTGTATGCCTAACATGTTAATTGTGTTGCTTCCAGCCTGGTCTTTGCCACTCCCTTGTGTTGTGCCATTTTCCCACAAAAAAGGTACGTAAAAAGTTAAAACTTTCATTTTGCTACATGTGTACATGGTGGAGGTTTTTTTACATCCTTGGAAATGTTTTTCCAATATGAAATTCTTGCAAGATGTTTTTACTTGATGAAGTTTGAAAAGATATTTCTGATTACAGTTCAATGTCAGTGAGTCTGTTGGAACCTGAGGTGCGTGACAAACTACCAGCTTCGACGACGCGAGTCTACTTCAACAAGGGGCTTTGAGGCCGGTCACCCTGTCTGTCCTACAGACACAGGCACTGGGAACAGACATGGTAATCTGGAGGTAGATAGTCTGTAGTGATAGCATTCATTCATGTTTAGTCCAAGCCTGATCATGACAAGGGTTGTTTTCACACAGAATGCATGAAATCAGGTGATAGAATCAATCATGTAACCTGTATCTTGTTATATTTTGTCTGACCCTGACCTCTTGTATCATAAACTCAATGAAAAGCAGCCAGCAGGCAGATTTCAGTATTTCACAAGTAAAGGCACAAATAAACAAATTTCATTTCAAGAAAGTTATTTCTCAGCTACAGTTTTTGTTCATATCCAGAGTTCTAAAATAGAACTAGCCATGTGACCTTTAGAGTATTACATGACATTGTGCAATTTCAGTCTCCTAGGATAACTACGGTAGAAGTGGGTCACGTGAAATCTGTATTGAACATTACCCTCATGTGTCTCCTGTGCATCAGATTTACCTCATACTGGTTATACTGCCGATGTGATGGACATGAACCAATGGAAATCCTTCTGAACCAAATTGTGGTTTTCTTTACTGACTATCCTACTGCTTATTTAGATATAGGTTGTAAAGTTTCAATCGTACTCATGACTACATTTGTGGTTGGGATAGCATTGATGGCAGAAGGTCTACCCAAAGACTATGTCATTAAACATCCAGACGTATCGAATTGATCACTTTTAGTGTCATAAACCACTGTCTTGCTCAGATGTCTACCACATCAGTGTAACATAGTAATTAATTTCCAGTGTTAATTACCTCTAAGACATAGTGAACCATAGTCATGACAAATTTCTAAATGGATGGGCCACAACAAGTTTTTTTCAGCAATGCACACTCAGATTAATATTTATGATAGTATGTAATGAAAAGTAGAATATTTTTCACCTGTGTGTGTCTGTGTGCTTAGGGGAAAACTGTAATGTGTTGTATTGACTGATACAAAGTAGATAGAAGTTGTGTGGAAGGTAAGGCGTTGAGAAAATTAAGTTTACTCAGTACTTGGGAACTGAAATACTTGAACCTGATTATCCTTGACCACTATTATTGTGTGTTGTTGCTAATGTGATTAAAATATTAATTGCTATGTATGCTGTTAATTCATCTGAAGGTGAGAATCTAGTATCTGACAGATGTGTTAGTGTGTTTAGAATGGTCTGTCTCCCTGGGACCCTCATAGGGAAATGTGCAAAATAAGTTAAGTTAAACTTGCTACAGTTTCAGTCTCCAGAAATGGTTATACTGAGATTGAATGATACAGTCAAACAACGTTCATATAATGTATAGATTGTAGAAATCAAATCAGCAATGGAAGTTACAAACAGATACATGTACGTTGTGTGTCAAATGATATATGTCTGTTTTGGGTGATATTGTACAGAGTTCTGTGATAGATGACTCAAATAAATCAGAGTATCTTCCATCATTTGTCTAGCATCATCAGTGTCTCAATAATGTTTAATCACTCAAAAACCTCACCAGTGCCATCACCAAACTGCTACAAACTGAAACTAAACCACTGCAAGTATTTGTGTTACACAGCTTTATCACCAAAACAAATGTCATAATTCCCCTAGCCTTACCTTGTTGTCACCAAGGACATTATTTCTGTATAATGTCCTTGGTGGTACAGAAGAACAAATTTCTTTGGTTTTAGTGGACACACACAGATGGGCACACAGATACACTTAATAAATACCTCTGTTGATGGAAGTCAAAAACTGCTTGCAGGCCAAACCTACACGTACCAGTTCTTCACATGTCTAGAACAAGAGATATATCAAAACAATAGGATTTTCTGCAGTACCAAAGAAAGCTGGTAGGGGGGCATAAACAATCTTGTCCTTTGCTTTTCTGACACTTACCATGTACCAAATATCTTCACCAAAGATTAATTCACAACTTCCCTAGTTACGCCGTCAACAATCGAATCCATCAACCTACAAACGGAACGGAAAGCAATGTTTAACGTTTAAAAAGTAGCGACGATAATTATGATATTCGATAGGTCAAATTTTATGGATGCTTTGTGATCTACTCTAGTGTCAAGCCAACCTGCTATGAAATGATTGCAGGAAAAGAAAAATCTGGGAAGAAAACCGATAGGAAAGAAAGGGACACATTTGAGATTTTTTTTTCTCTCTAACGAAGACGTAACATTGACTACTCTATTGGCCAATTTTCAAACATCAAAATTCCAACGTCTGTAACCCATCTGTTGTGGTTTGGTCATATGGAAGCGACTATTGCATATATAGAAACTGTAGCCCGGGGTCAGGATATATTTGGACATGTTTGGGGCCGGTTTTAACCGGGGCGTTACACTAGCCTATGTCGACGTCATCATTCCATAACAGGCAGAGACAGCTGGCTTCATGTCGTCTGCACCAAAATTAGCCCAGGAAGGAGCACACCCTGACTGAGATTTCTTAGTGCGTACATACTTCACACTGCAGCACAGTCAATGACGAGTTCTTGGTGGTAAAGGCGCTTTGTTCCTGAAGGAGGAGGTACGTATTCTACTTCATTCTTTTGGCCATAGACGTGCTACATCCATACTCGTATAAATGATGTCTATATTTGTGTGGGGTTATAATATATCGCATGTGGCTTCCAGAAGGTCGAGGGTAGCGCCGACACGTCACCAGAACGTGAGCTTGCATTACGTAAGGTCGTGTTCTCGTATTAAAGGATGATATCCCATGGCCATGTACAGTTTCCCTATATAGTTGCGTCTCAAAAGAAAACGATTGCAACGCACGTTATTCTTATTCAGCTTTGGCTGAACATCCATCAGAATGGTTCGGATACCGTGACGAATTCCTTTTTAACTACATAACAACAACTTGAAATTCCTGATAACACATCGCAACTGGGGTACCATGCCGGTCAAAGGTTACCGACAATGTCTAATTGTTGTTGACAGTTGACTTGGCCATCAAATAGTGATTGATAAAAACGATAGTCAAGCATTACATTCTACTTATGTGTAGTCTAATGTTGCACAGAAGACGGCAGCCGAATGTGTGGCATAGATAGTTGTTTGTTTCTACCCCTGCATGAAAGGTGGGATTTAACAATGCCGGCGAATGCCAGGTAATAATAAAGTCTGGCAGTGATTTGTCTTTCGCCAGTTGATGCTTTAGGCCAAGATTATCAGAATTACCTGGTATCTATCGCAGTAGGCGGTAGAAAAACATTCGAGTTTAGCAGCTGCAGAAAACAGCGCAAACCAGCCCAACTGTGTATGGATGGTGTTCAGCACTAGGGACAGGTGGGTTCACCAGTATGGTGTTCAGCATTACGGACAAGTGTATAGGTAGGTGTTTAAAATTCTTTATTGACAATATATTTACAAATATTACAAAAAGGCTAAACCTTTCCCTATTTGCAGAAACTTGAAGTTCAAGATGGGTGACCCGAACATGACCATGCAGCCTCCAATGGTCTACAACGACTTCCACCACGCCGACAAGATGCTGCAAGGCTTGACGCGGCTCCGCGAGCAGGGTCGTTTTTACGACGTGGTGATCTGTGTGGGGAAGGAAGAGATCCCGTGTCACCGCGTGGTGCTCGCCGCCGCCAGCTCCTACTTTGACAGCTCGATCTCAAACGACCTGGGTAGTAGCTCCATGCTACGGCTGGAGCTGCCGTGGGACATACGGCTGGACATTGTCCGGGTTCTCATTGACTTTGCGTACACGGGACAGATTACAATCACGGACAACAACGCCAGGAATCTACTGTTTGCTGCGAGCGCTTTCGGATTTCATAGTGTTCGTGCGGCCTGTAGCGAGTATCTCCAGCAGCAGCTGACTACCTGTAACTGTATTAGTCTGCACGATCTGTCCGAGCAGTACACGTGTCCGGAGCTGGCTCAGCAGGCCAAGGCCTTCATCCTGCAGCACTTCGCGTCACTGTGCGGTGCGGACTCCAGCGAGTTTTTACAGGTAGGTCAAGTGTTCACCCTGTTGACATTGTTGATGGGAATGGAGGAATCTTTGGTCGAAAATCTCAACCTGATTAGATGTTTGTGAGTAGATAGTGTTCAGCACCAAGGACAGGTATGTTTGCCTGTGTGTGGATGACGTTCAGTACCTAGAACAGATATATTTGCCTATGTGTGGATGGCGTTCAGCACCAAGGACAGGTATGTTTGCCTGTGTGTGGATGGCGTTCAGTACCTAGGACAGGTATATTTGCCTATGTGTGGATGGCGTTCAGCACCAAGGACAGGTATGTTTGCCTATGTGTGGATGGCGTTCAGCACCAAGGACAGGTATGTTTGCCTATGTGTGAATGGCGTTCAGCACCAAGGACAGACAGCGCCATGTCGGTGTAGACGTGGTAAGACTATTGCTTAAAGGCACGGATCATAAGAGGGAAATAATTTCAAAGAAATATCACGATTTTTCTATTGTTTCTCCACTCAGGTGTCCAAGGACCGCCTTGTAGAATACATCTCCAGTGACGAGGTGAACGTCACGAAAGAAGAAATTGTGTACGAGGCCGTGATCATGTGGGTGAAACAGGAGCTGTCCGTGCGCGAGGCCAGTTTACACGATCTCCTGAGGCACGTCCGGTTACCCTTCCTCAACCCCCGCTACCTGGTGTCCAGAGTAGCCACGGAGCCCATCATCTCCCGCTCCGCGGAGTGCATGAAGTTGGTGCAGGAGGCGCGGCAGTACCAGGTCTTCGACTACGACCGTTTCGACATGCCGAGCCCGCGGTTTCGTCCCCGGCCGTCCAGTAGAATACAGGAGGTGCTGGTGGTTGTTGGCAGTGATTACCACTCTGCCTTGACCAATGTAGACTGTTACAGCCCCATGGACGAGACTTGGACTTCCCTGGCGTCCCTACCAGAGACATTGCGCGGGGACTTTCCTCTGGCCGTGCTGGGGAACGACATCTACGTGGTAGGAGACCCAGCTGGTAGTACGGACACTTGGCGGTACAACTCACAATCCGACAAATGGGTACAGGTAAAGTAGCCAATACTCCTCTCTCTACAAGCATGTTTCCCGAAATATTACCGTCTTGTCTCTAACGTTATAGCAGCCCAGGTAGATAGCCCAAGAGACAGCTATCTGTCCTTCATGCTGAACATCATTCACACGCTGGTACTGTCCTTGGTGCTGTACACCATCCACGCACAGCTTAAAACACACGTGTCCTATTTCTGATGCAGAAAACAAAACAACCACACATATGCCTATCACTGGTGTTGAACATAACTCATACACCTGTCTCTAGTATTGAACACTATCATCACACATGTCCTTGGTACTGAACACCATCCACAGCACTTTTCACAAACCCTCTTATATATAGCAGGACTTGTGCCTTCTTGCCCCTCTCAGGTGGCTGGCATGCCCAGAAGCCATGGCCAGTGCAGCAGCAGTGTTCTGCACGGCCAGATCTACGCGGTTGGGGGGGATGACTCAGGCACCCCGCTGGCAGACGTGGACAGGTACGACCCGCTCACCAACTTCTGGGAGGAGCTCCAGCCCATGCCGAAAGCGCTGAACGACTTTGTGACAGCAGCATGTGGAGGTTTGTTTGTTTACTCATTTTATTCATCAATGTTTTAATTCAATCGTTAAAGTTTTAGATACAGTAAAAGTGCCACAGGTCCACAACATGTTACTGCATGTTCACATACAGAAGAATGTATAGTTTGCAATTCATGAAATACAGTAGTTTTATCAAATCAATTTTATTGAATACAAAGAATGCAGTTTTACCATCATATGCTTTTTTTTGGCAATACCAGGAGTGGAGGCATTTTTACAGTATTGCAATCAAGTTGAAAAGAAAATTGCACGAATGCATTCTCTGGGGAATTGGTTTTTGGCGGCGCCTTGCAGGGTAGGCCGGAATTGCAGGAATGCATTTTCTAGGTAATTGCCTTTTTCCTGGGATAGGCCATCATATACTAGTATAGCAGGGAGGAGCAGGGTAGGTAGGGATAGGCCAACATATATACTAGTAGTATGGCCCGTTATGTTTCCGAAATGGGCATCGATGCAGTCACCTGATAGTTTTATCATATCTGTACGCCAGTCTATGTTCTAATAGATAATTCAGGGTGTTACAGATGTAGGTCTACAATACCTTAGTCTTATCATAGTATCGTTGTGGCGTCTGTGTCATGACGGGATGTTTTGCCCAGAACCCAAGGACAATCCAAATCAACACTTCAATTGTTCATTTCTATACTATCAAAACAAGATGAAGTTCAGATATAGCGACCTCTTTGTATTCTTACAACATGTATATAACTCCTACGAAGGGCACATTCCAAATTAAGGTGATGCCAGGGTTACGTGCGGCAATGCAGGGAGGGTATGGAAGTCTGGCAATTTGTTCCACACGAGTGGAACTCTGGCGTTGGCTGTTCCTTTACATATGATGAAAACAACGGCTCCCTGTTTTTTTGTTTTAATTTAAACCCCTCCATCTGTTACTGGCCAAGGAGGATTGGTGCTGAACACATAACCACCACCAATGTTGCCCCTGACCATAAACACATATGCACCAGTACTGCCTAAATTGCTCTGTCACTAGCTTCCATTACTGTAACAGCACTGCATTAATTGTTCATAGCCTTCATCACACTGCGTCGCCATGTCTTTTAACACCACACTTGTTCTGATTTTCCTCTACCTGTACCTTTCAATTGATTCATTCCTTTATTCATTCATTCATCCATTCATTCATCCATCCATCCCTTTACCCACCCACATATCCATCCATCCTCTGTACAATGTGACTTCTTCAGTAAACTAAGTCCATTTTTGTTGTAGGGAAGCTGTTTGTGTTTGGTTGTTCCTCCAACTGGAGTGAGGCGGAGACCCCTGAGCTGCAGCAGTATGACCCTGACCTTGAGGAGTGGAAGGTTCTGCACTGTCCATCCATGCCTCACTGGGACGACGTCCGCAGGCAGTCACCTTGAATGGCAGGATCTACTTTATACAAACCAACAGCAATAAGGTAGGTGTCCTTTCTCTGTATGCATAGGGACACACCAATTCAAATCATTGGTTCTCAAATTTTTCTATGATTTGAAAAAAGTCTTGTACATGTACTTGATGTACATGTATCATTCAATGAATCAAATTGAATGTTTCCCCCTACCTGCTTCATTGACTTCCTGCAATATTAAATTAGAGAACCAGCCAAGGCTGCCCAACTAGCAGGTAGCTATTATAAAGGAGCTTACTTTCTATCATTATAATCAGTAATAATGGATGTATTTCAGGTGGATGTGTATGCTCCTCCGATGAACAAGTTCAGCCAGCTGGCGCCCATGAACCACCTCCATCATGAGGGGAGTATCGTGGTGTGGCAGGACCGTCTCCACGCCATCGGTGGCACGGGATGGGCTCCGACACCTTCACGGAGGAAGTGGAAGCCTACGACGTCAACACAGATGCTTGGAACATTGTTGCCAAATTGTCTGACCCAAAACGTGTCCCCTGGTGTGCCAGTATCTTCCTTCGGCTCAGCGGCAACTGAGATGTCCTGTCAAGCCACAATAAGTGAAGTTTAGGGATGACATCCATGCAGACCCCAAATCTAATGTGAGGGTGTGAAAAAAAAAAGATGGAAAAGGAGCTGCCTAATATTTTGTCATCCATAAAATTTCCTTGTTGTAGCCCAAGATTGTTGTGCTTAAA